CAGAGGAGAAACACTGATCAGAGTCAGTGGTGAGATAGAGATAGAGGTGGAGGAACTACAGAAGGAGCTGTGGGGGGAGAAGATTTGAGTGGGATTTGAACCAGCAACTTCTGGATCTGCAGTCAAAGGCTCGACCACTGAGCTATACCACAGGCAAAAGTATCAATACCCCCCACCCCCCCGCCCTTCTCTCCAATTTATTTATTTATGTTGTTTATGATCATTAACGTGACGTTAGCCTTGAATTGTTAGCTGCGGCTAATGGCTAATAAGACCACGCCAACATTAATTCAGGCCACCGGCCACCATAACATCAGTAACAGGTCAGTTTGAAACAAGATACGATACTCATTTTCAAAAGTGTCGATACCACCCCTTAGCTTTGAATTGCTAGCTGCGTCTAATGGCTAATAATAACACACCAATTTTAGGACATTTTGGTAGGGTTGTCAAAAATATCGATACTCAAAAAAACTAAATAATAATACTAAAACGTTGTACCCGGATACGATATTCATTTTCAAAAGTATACCACACATTCACTTTGAATTGCTAGCTGTAGCTAATGGGTAATAATAACATACCAATTTTGGGAAATTGTGGTAGGGTTTTCAAAAGTATCGATACGTTGTGCCCCTTGCCCCCGACGCTGCTCCCCTTCTCTCTGATTTATTTATTTAAATTGTTTAGGATCATTAAGGTGACGTTAGCCTTGAATTGCTAGCTGACGCTAATGGCTAATAATAACACGCCAACATTAATGCGGGTCACCGGCCACCATAACATCAGTAATAGGCAAGTTTGAAACAAAAGACACCAACTTGTCCAAATTCAGTTAAATTTGGGGGTCTTTTTGGGGGTTTTTATCCTTGTGGTATCGAAAATGGTATCGAGTATCGATTATTTTCCTGAGTATCGGTATCGAGTTGAACATTTTAGTATAGTAGTATTGTCGCCTTTTTTCCCCCCGACCTATTATGTGACATCATTAAGTATAAGGAAAATTGTGTGATATTTATAAAGGTCTGTGAAAAGATGAATGCTGCACATAGAATCCAACCACGCCGACTACTTTTTCCAGATAATATACTTTGGAAATTTAATCTAAAGCAATTTTCCTGCACTGTTGCACACATATTATTAGAAGATTACTTTATTGTAAAAAAATAAAGGAAAGAAACACAACAACTGACCAAAGTGTGCTCATAATTAAGCACATACGTCACACTTATTAAGACCGGATGAGTATAATTGAGTGCTATTATTTACATTGTGGTGGTTATGAAGGGTTGAACTGAACTGACTCCTTTCTGTCTGTTTTGTGCTAAAAGACACAAATACTCATAGAAGTTAAGCTCCTTTCCTTCAGTTTGCTGTTGCTTTTATACTTTAGGGTTATTTCAATCAAGGTTTTTAAGCAAATTAATCATTTTTACCACATTTCTAACCTGGGTTTCATTGTTTTAAGTGATATAATTGTATAGTTACATTGTATTTCCTCTCCTTGTTCTCCTCCAGAAGCACTGGTTGGAAACACTGGACCAAACGACTTGGAGCACAGCCAAAACACTTATAAATATGGGAGGATAAAGAATCTGTGGTATTCTAAGTGCGTATCGCTGCTTGTGTATATTTAGACCGTTTACAAAAGGGGCCCTGTGAATTTAATCATCACTGGAGCTGGAATTTCCTGAGAAAACAAAGACATTTCATTACAAAAAAAAGGCCTTTTACAATCATTTCTAAAAGGAGATTCCCCTTCATGTCTGAAATAAACTTGTAGTCTCAAACTTGTAGCTCAGTCTCCAGAATAAAATCAGTTTTAACTGGAAGCGGAAACAAGCTGTGCAGAGCAGCTTTGCTCAGAAGGAAATCAAACATCATTAATAATAATAATAATAATGGATAGTCAAACAAAAAAGCAGCGTATTCGGTCTCACGGTCACCTCAAAAGATCAATGAAACCGAATAAACAAGGACAGAGACGCACCGCTCAGAGGGTTTTAACCATAAATAAAGGAGCGTTTTGTTGTTAGGAAACACACTGAGGACGACATCAGAGGAAGGTTTGGTAGTTTTTAAAGCCACCCATATACCTTTAATGCCAAATGTGTCATATCTGATTCATACGGTTTCTGAAGTCTTTTGGATCTGAGACTTTTTGCATCATTCAGTGGTAAAAGCTTTGCTCAAACCCCGGTTGTACACATTCAGATATACCTGATAACAGCCAGTAGAAGACTACACCAAAATATATTTTTGACTTAATGCACGCTAATTTGATCAAAATAATTTCAGTTTTTTTTTCTTCATATGTTGTCGAGGGGCCAAAGAAAGACTTCAGACTAAAAAAATCCCAAATTCTTCCTATTTTTCTTGGCTCTCGCTTTAAATGGTTAAAGCTGTTTTTTGTGCTTTTAAAACCGTTTTTTGGGGGCTTTTAAAGCTTTTTTTAAATACTTTTAAAACGTTTTTTTGGGGGTTTTTAAAGCGTTTTTTTGTGCTTTTAAAACCATTTTTGGGGATTTTAAAGCAGTTGTTTTTTGCTTTTAAAACTGTTTTTTGGGCGGTTTTTAAACCCCTGTTGTACACATTCAGATATACCTGATAACAGCCAGTAGAAGACTACACCAACATATATTTTTTACTTATTGCACGCTAATTTGATCAAAATAATTTCTGTTTTTTTTTCTTCATATTTTGTTGAGGGGCCAAAGAAAGACTTCAGACTAAAAAAATCCAATATTCTTCCTATTTTTCTTGGATCAGGCTTTAAAGCGTTAAATATTTAGACACGTATCAGTAAGTCTTTTGGAATTCTTCATATAGTTGGGACTTTGTCTGAGGGTTTATAACTTTATGGAGCTGTCTCCTCGGTCTAAAAATGAGGTTACCTGAGGGCTGAATCAAAGGTGGTGGGTTCGAATCCCACCAGAGTCGCCTTTTTTTGATGAAGCTTTTCGGTTATATCTTGTTACTTTAGAGATCAACAAATGGGCGCTATTTAGATGATTAACTGTATTCTGCTTTGTGCAAAGCTCACACAGAGCCCATTTCAATTAAACCCAATTAAACCATTGGGTTTAACTTCTTAACGAGTTTAAGGACATGGAGCCCTTGTTAAAAACCTGCAGATCCTGTTTGTTTACTCCCAAATCTGCTAACTCCATATTTTTTTCCCATTTGTAAATCTGGGGATAAGTTAAAACCTACAGGCAGCTCTCCTTTCGAGAAAAAAATAATAAAGAAAGGCCAAAATCTAAGCGTTAGAAGTTTAATGAATTCAACATATTACATGCACAATAAAATCGCTTAATAGTGGTTTAATAGATATTATGATATCTAGGAGGAAATGATTGAACCTCTTCTTACACATGGAAAATATTTCTTCTAAAAATATTTCCTCTTTCTCTTGTTTTAAATACATTTTATAACCTTTTCATAGCAAAACTCTGATCTTAGCAGCAGTGGCTGCTTTAGGCATTTTTATTAGCTAAAACATTCTAATTAAAATCAGCTATGTTTGCTCCACGTTTGAGTGAATAATAAGTTCTGCTCACCACTTGCAGCATGCTGGAGACACTTTCCCACGTCGCCTCTTTGATGTTGTCCCCTCCATCCACCATCCCCTGGTACCCCTGAACAACAAATACCACAAATAATCATGTCCTGTTCACAGAATGACAAAAACTCTGTTCAATCTGGAGCGTTGCATCACTGGAAAAACATCCAAAGGGCCTAAACCTGCTTTAGTGACAGATTCTCCTGTTTATGGACCATTTTTAGCCTTAATTTAAGCAAAAACATTCATCTTTTGAGGGCTTTTTTAACCCTATAATGCCAAATGTGTCATATCTGATTCATACGGTTTCTGAAGTCTTTTGGATCTGAGACTTTTTGCATCATTCAGTGGTAAAAGCTTTGCTCAAACCCCTGTTGTACACATTCAGATATACCTGATAACAGCCAGTAGAAGATTACACCAACATATATTTTTGACGTATTGCACGCTAATTTGATCAAAATAATTTCTGTTTTTTTTTTTTATATGTTGTTAAGGGGCCAAAGAAAGACTTCAGACTAAAAAAATCCAATATTCTTCCTATTTTTCTTGGATTTTCTGGCTTTAAAGGGTTAAACAGCAGCCAGAAAACCAAAAAAAAAGTTAGAAATCTGTGTAGAAAGAGAAAAAATTACTGGAGTGGAGTTCAGGTCCCAGAAACAGCAGAATCCTGATATCTGAACCAGAAAGCTGCATCCTCTTAACCCTATAATGCCAAATGTGTCATATTTTGTACGGTATCTGAAGTCTTTTGGATCTGAGACTTTTTGCATCATTCAGTGGTAAAAGCTTTGCTCAAACCCCTGTTGTACACAGTCAGATATACCTGATAACAGCCAGTAGAAGACTACACCAAAATACATTTTTGACTTATTGCACGCTAATTTGATCAAATAACTTCTGTTTTTTTTTCTTCATATGTTGTTGAGGGGCCAAAGAAAGACTTCAGACTAAAAAAATCCAATATTCTTCCTATTTTTCTTGGATTGGGCTTTGAAGGGTTAAGGTTTCCGTGTTTCCATGGCTGCGGTGTCATGTTGGGAGCCTAAAAGCAAAAAGAGGTCCCGGCCCAAATGAAAGCATCCGGGCTCTCAGCAGTCCTTACTCACAGCCCACTGGCCAGTGATGGATGAATCCTCCCCTCAGTAATCCAATTATGTCCACAGTGAGACCAGATCAAGTCTCTACCTGCTCCTCACCTCGTCCTTTACAGGCGTCAGACGTTTATCATCCAGAGGCGAGTGGCAGCAGTTTGCCATCAGTTAACATGTTTTTTATTTTATTTTATTTTTCTATTTATTTATTTTATTTATTTTATTTATTTTATTTATTTTATTTATTTTATTTATTTTACTTATTTATTTTAATTTTATTTATTTTATTAATTTTATTTATTTTATTTATTTTATTTATTTTATTTTCACAACAAAAACAT